ATTAAATTAATCAACTACACCATTTAATCTCATAATTTTCCAATTTTATTATTTCTTCAACGATATCACATTTTTACCAAATTATTATACAAATTAATTATTTATTTACATATTTAGGGCATTTCCCCCATTTCCAATAATACCTAAGGCTCATTTTCACCCATATCCATAAACAACATTCCATTTTCAAGTCTATAACACAAATATGACTCAAAAAACATGTGTGCAAAACCCCTCTTTTAAAAATTACACAAACAAACCCTAACTTTCTCAATATTACCCAATATTGACCAAACTAATCAAATGACAAAATTAAAGACAAAACCATAGATGGAAGTAGAGTTATCCCTACCCGAAATGAAGAGCTCAAATGGAAGATGACCAAAATCCCAAAGTGCTTCAAATCCACAAATTTTCAAATTTAAAAACGAAGGCTCACACCACCTTCTATCTTTCTTACAAATAGAACTTTATGGAGGTAGCAACACTTCAAGAACAGATCAATTCCCTAGACAGAAGGTGTTTAGAAGAGAGAGAGAGAGAGAGAGAGAGTGGAACGGAATCATAGGGTTTTGAAATTAAAAGAGATGAAAAAGTTGAAGTGTTTACCCGCTGCTGCCTACTTGATATAACACAGTGCTCGCTCAGAGCGAAGGATTGGTTCGCTCGAGCGCGACCAGACACAAGGAACTCTCACTCGAGCGTTAGAAATCAGCCTCGCTCGAGCCAACAATGCGAAGCTTCAGTGTCTGCATCCAGAAGCATTCTCGAGCCGACAGGAATGCTCGCTCGAGCGAAGAAACACAAAACATAGACCTCGCCGCCGAGTGAAGGAAAAGCGCGCTCGAGCCAAGAAATGCAAACTCTCAGCGCCAGGAATCAGACGCATACGCAAGCTCTGCGACGCGAAGGACTTCTCAACTCTTTCTTAATTGTTCTGTTGTGTTTATTGTGGGTAATTCTCATGAGGTAAACAAGGAGATATTTTATAGGTACAAATCATTCATTATGTAATATATATATATATATTTACTTTTCTTTAAGCTTGATTGTTACCGTTGGGTGTGAGTGGGTTGGTGTGGGAAGCCAGTGTGTTTTCTATTTTTATTTATTTTTTTTTCAAGGTTAAGCCTCAATTTGAAAGGACACATCATATCAATGTGTATGGTGTGTGAACAACTTTGGAGGCATTATCTTCGTGTGTGTGTGTAGTCCGTGTGTGTGGGTGTGTGTTGTGTGTGTGTTTGGTAGAAGCCAGTTGAAAGGCCCCCTCTATATATTTTTGAATGGCCCACCTCGGTGTAGGGTTGTGTCGCGGGTTGTTGCGGTTTGTCTCGGGGCTCAATTTTATGACTAGTTATTTAAACAAATAACAATACTCAAGAAAATGAGACCTTACATACATCGCCAACATGTGAAACCTTCTTTAATGTTGTCAGTGTTATATTGAAGAATTTAAAAAATAATTAGAATCACGTAAAATAAATTTTATTACAAAAAAGTCTATTATCGTTGTTTATAACTTTTGAGTATATATTTAAATTTATTCAAAATTATGTGACTTATTGTAATCGTTTCATTTTTCAATCAAAATATTCATTATGTCATTATAATTAAAAACGAAAATAATATGGGCAATCTATTTTTTAAACTCATGTTCTAAAACCTAATGATGGTAGTGATATTATGGTTGAATGATTTAGAAAATATATAAAGAAAACGCCTGACTTAGATTTCTAATTAATTGTCACATTCATTAAACTTGATAAATGGGTCTAATTTTTATATGTGAATAAAAATACTCTTGAAAAAAGCAATTACACATTATTTTAGATGTTGTTTCTCCAAAGGCTTTTCGTGAATTATTTTTATTTTTTAAATATATAATCAACCATTATTCTTGGGTAAATCAAATTTTGTATAAATTATTAAAGTAAGATTATATTTTTCATTCCTAATTTGATCATATGAACAAAAGGTTGAAGGAGCCCAATCCTCCAAGGGTGTGTGGGCTTGAAAGCCAGTTTATACATCAATGTTGGTTGCACGAGAAAGTGAAGCCAATTTTAAATGCAATTAGAATTTCTTGGTAAATAATTGTTTTGTACAATAATAATTATATATGGTTGCTTTCAAAATTTCTTATTTACTTTTTAAACCACCCATATTTAAGTGTATTATTTTGGAATTCAAACCACCCATGAATAAAATACAAATTATAGTACCCCTTTTATTTTCAAAATATCACTAAACCTCCCTTATAGTAAATATAAGTCCTTCCATGAGTCCACCATTTATTGACTTAACAAAAATTACTAATTTACTATATATATACTTCTAAATGCTAAACTTTATCTTTGTTTGCGAAAATTATTTTTCCTCCACCACGATCAACCATACCCAAACACACACAGCGCTGTACTATTTTCACCGGCCACAACCATTGGCCTAGCCCCATTTTTATAGGTGAAAATTACTATTTAATGGGGAAGTGAGAATACATTATTTTATTAATTTTTTTTATTAATTCTTCTTGGAGTGCAACTTTTGCAGTTGCTTTTTTTACAATTTTTTTAGTCATGTGCTCCAACTTGCAATTTATCCATTTTTATAAGCAACCATTCATCAATTTTTGCAGCTTTTAATGTAGTGGAAGTGAGCAATTTCCAGTTTTGCAGCTTTTTAAATGGGATTTTGGGATTCTTGTTCAAACAATTTGCAGTAGCTTTCTGATTATAATTTATATTGGTAAAATAACTTAAAAAAAAAAAAAAAAACTTATTGTACTGAAATTGAAGGGAATAGTATTTTTTTTAAATTTTGCTTACATAAATTATCAAATTTTTTGGAATTAAGTTCAAGGAAACAAACATGACTGCTCTCTAGGTGGAGGGAGGTATAAAGCTTCTGATACTTTTTTTGGTGTTGTGTAGTGTGTACAAAATCTTCTAATTCTCTTTTATCTTATTTTCAATTCTCCTTAGCAAATGACCAGGAAAGTATTTGTCTTCCAGTCAAAGTACCCAAAAAAGAAAGAAAGAAAAAAAAAGGGGAATATCCCTTTCTACTCCATAAACGTTGACTGGCATTGGCTATTTGCCGCCGTGGGGTTTACGACAGATCTAATTTAATGATTTGGAACTCTTCATTTTGTCAAACATTTTGTATATTTCATTTCACATAAAAATTATATCAATATTTATAATTGAAAACTTATTAAATTTATTAACGTTTGTTATCAAAAAGAGAATATATTAGTTTATTTTAAAATACAATTGTGGTCACTTTTTTAGTGAAAAATGTAGTAAAGTTGAACAAGTTATTTATTATTGGATTGGCCTAATTTTTTGTATGAATAAAATGATGAAGTATCTAAAAAAATGAACGAATTCGAACATTACGACGAATCCATGATTAAGCCTTACGAGTCAAAATAGTGCCTATTTCCAAATTGGTAGACCCCCCACCCCCACCATGGGGCCCATGTGCCTCCAAAAGAAAGCACTTTGCTATGAGTTACTTACATCTCAATATGCACTGTAACTACAATTTATTTATTAAAAAGACGATTTAGTGCAGAAGATTTCAGTGACAGATGGGGAAGAGCGGCGCAAAATGTTCATAGTTTTATTATGTTGTTTTTAGAGATTTATTTCATAAATTTGACCCATCCACCAAGAACAAAAACAAGAAGCCTTACAAGCCTTATTGATGAATGACGCACCCTTCAATTATAATTTGTTTATATTATACTAGAAAGTTAGGGGAAAAAGTTCGTTTCCTATTCTTTGATATGCCTTTGTGAACCAGATACCCATACGGGTTGGAGAGTCCTTCGTCGAAATTTATTTATTTATTTATTAGAGGCATCCTTTAGCAGATCTACTTATATTTTATCTTAAAATATTTATTAAAAATTCATTTCCTTATTTAGGGAAATACTTTTTCATCTACTTTCTCTCAAGAGGTGCCTTTTCTTTCTCTATTTCTATTAATAAACTCTCTATTTTTTCTCTATTTATTAAATATAATTTTTAATTATAAATTTTAAAAAAATTAAAAATCATAAATGTTGTACTACGGTTTCCCTAAAAAAAAAATTAAAAAAAAAAGTTCCAACTTGTCTCATTGTTGAGATCCAAGATTGGACTCACCCAGGTCTAGCCCATGGCCCATTTTTATAGCCCCATTTTGATAATCTTGAACTGCTTCAATATATAAAAACTCGTCAATACTATATCTCCCTGTGAAAAATCATTGTTGATCCAGATATCGAGTAGCTATTTGATCGAATCAGATTTTTATTAAAAAAATGAACGGTGAAAAAATAAGACAGTGACAGAATTCGGGATCAGATTGTATTTCAAAAAAGGAACAAATTACCAATAGTTCCTACTTTGAGACTTCATTACCACATTAAGTCCTATTGAAAATTAAAATTTATCATAAATTTATAGTGATAAAATTTATTAATTTCTTTGGTTTTTTATGAATAAATCATTACTGATAAATTTATCAGTCTTTTATTTTATTTATTAGTAATAAATTTATCATTAGGACCTCGTAGGCTAAATAAAGTCTAGTTAATCGGATTGATTGGAAAGTACTCATTTAAAAAATGAACCGGTGTGAAAAAAAAACGGTGACAGAATTCTTGATTTTCTGATCAAATAGCTATCGATAATTTCTGATCAACGTGATTTTTTTACCAAGGAATATAGTACGTAACAATTCTACACATTCAACGTTCGAATTATCGGACAAATAAGTCAAAAAATGAGGCCAACGGGCCAGCTAGACGAGTCCAGTCTTGATCTCAAACATGAGAACAAGCTTGGTCCAAAAAAAATATATGGGTGCTACAATTAACTCAGCCTGTGTTAGCAATTTTATTTTAAAAAAAGTTTAAAAGTGCTGCTGGAAGTATATTAAAAAAGCCATTCAAACCCCTTAAAGTAGAGATAAGAAACGGAGGTTTATGGTGTCTGCTACTGATGCTCTAAGAGCACCTTAATAGAACCCTTATACACCCTATTTAAAGGATTTTGTTATGCTTCTATAAACTTCCTCTCAGTAATCCTTTATTAACACTCCCTTAAAATAGAAAATTACTACAGCTGCCTCCGATTTGTATGGAGTCACTGTAGGCACTCTTATGTTTTATTTTATTTTATTATTATTATATTATTTTTATTATTTATTATTATTTATTATTTTGCTTTGCTTTATTTAAGGGACTGTAGTGCACATTTTATGATTTTATTTTATTTTTTTTTTTTAATTATTATGGAAAATTATTATTTTGGATAGGAATAGAAAAAAAAATTATAGGATTTGTTAATAAAATTAGAAAAAAAAAGAGTATTGAAAAAGTTAGATGAAAAAATAATTTTTTAAATAAAAAATTAATTTTTTAATAAATATTTGAATAAATATGAATAATTCTGTTAGAAGATACTCCATGCAAACAACGCTTTTACAATGCTAAAGTGAATATAGAAGCATTGTAACATCTGTGCTGAGAGACTGAATAGAATAAGTTGGGA